TTATAGAAAGCACAGTATTATAATATTCAAAGAGCGATTATAAAGAGATAATCTGCAAATGAGTGCGGCAGAGAGTCTTGGATTGATGTACTACACCGACCGCACAAGAAGTCAATTCACAGCGGACAGAGCTACTTCAACAACCCACCGCTCCCTCTTTCGCACGTTTTAAAACCAAAAACTGAGATAGTCCTACAAGCATTCTGATCAGCATAATTATAAGTTACCTGAGTTTATATTCTTAACTTTCTTCTACGCTGTCAGAAAATCAGGGCCCGGATTACACAGCAATTATGAACACAAAATGTACACCAAAACCAGAGGTAATAATACTTGTATTATAGAGCATTTAATTTGCTTTTCCCCCTCCTCACCACCAGTCTCATAAGGAAATGAGACAGATCAAAATTCTTAAGTAAAGAAAACAAGTTCCCTCCTCCAACAATCTGGTATGAACACACAGGCTGAAAATTCAAGATTAGCACCCCTAAAATATTAACAGCGGCAGACAGACATTAAGCTGGATAGCATTACGCCTTATTTCTCTCTCCTCCCTTTTCTGCTGGATTTCGAAACCAGCATCAGAAAACCGAACGCATTCTCCTCAGGTTGGCGTGATCCAGGAAGACAAACACAAGCTGACAAATAGGAAACGGCACGCGGCTCGGGGGTATCAGCCAAAGGTCGGGTTTGTGCTGACGCAGCGAAAACGAGTTCGAGTCACGGCAGCTTCTCCTGCGCGAGGGTATCTGCAGGGGGTTCTGGTTACTCCACCAGCACCAGCCATCCGCGACAGCTCCCAACAGGCTGCGGAGCTCGGCGTGCACGGGGGACCCTCTGCAGTCACGGGGGGGGTCCCCACGGACGCCTGGTTTCGGTCGACTTCAGCACCCAGAGATCATCCCCGCACTCCTACCCTCCACCCAGCTCGGTTTAAAGCAGAGCTTGAACTACTCTACCAGGGCGAGAAAGTTTCGCAGCACCAATATCAAAGCTCTTCTGCGTCTCTCCCTCCCGACCCGGCCGTCCGGAGCAGGGGTGGCTACTGCCCAGACACACGGACGGTGACAGGACGAAGCGCGCCGTCACGCTGCGAACACAGGTTCGCTCCTTACAGCGGCCGCAACCTCCGTAAGCGCTTCTCTGCGGCACTAATTGGACAAGCACAAGCTTTTCTTTCAGAAATATCCTCCCCTTCACTGAAAGGATCAAACGCAGTACTGAAAACCTCACCTAAACCAAATGTCACGCACCAATTTAATTTTCACCTTTGTTAAATAATGTAATTGTCCCGGAAATGGTTCTTCAGCAATCCTGAGAGGCAACACCAGCACACAAGCTGTCCTCCAAAGAGAAGTGAGGCACAGTGGGTATGCGAGGGCAGCATGCAGCGGCAGTAAATAACCCGGAGCTTGCTTTGTTCCTTCATAAAATAAATGATTAATAGCTCAGTACAGTCAGTCTGCTATTCAAGGCTTGCTGAAAACTTTTGATCAGTTTGATTCATTAACCTTTAAAACTGCCTCTAAAAGAGGCTTAAATTCTGAAGGAGAAGCATCATTTTAAAATGAACGCTTCAATTTTATCCAGAAATCCTCATCTTTTGACAAACTGAGCTAAGCATTGAGACGCTCTGCTCCTCTTTAGAGGCACTCAGTATCTCACAGTGAGGTGCTGAGGAAGAAAGAACATGGTAAAATAAAGCTGATGTACGCAAACAAAACCACGTTCATCTTAAAATTCAAAGCCGATCAGGGCTGGTGGGGAGAAAATGGCATTTCTTGGCGATTCTTAAGCATTTGACCGATTCGCAGGTGGCTTCCCAACTGTCTCTTTATTTCTTTGGGTTTTAATGCTAATAAAAAAGGAACACAAACAGGGGACTCAATTCCCCACACAATGCACTGGGGGAGGGCAGGGAGTGTAACTTATGTATCCGAAAAGTCTGACTCAGACAAATTACTTCTAGTTCACTTCCTTACTACACGCCCGCATTGTTCCAACACCTCGGTAGCATAAGGGGTTCATCCCCAGCTATCTGGTCACAGAAACAGCCATGCCGACTAATGCCGTTCAAGAACTGTTCCAATTACTTCCCTGGGGAAAAAAAAGTGACTTGCGGCTTAACGTCCTGCCCCAGCGCAGCTGACTCAGACAAATTACTTCTAGTTCACTTCCTTACTACACGCCCGCATTGTTCCAACACCTCGGTAGCATAAGGGGTTCATCCCCAGCTATCTGGTCACAGAAACAGCCATGCCGACTAATGCCGTTCAAGAACTGTTCCAATTACTTCCCTGGGGAAAAAAAAGTGACTTGCGGCTTAACGTCCTGCCCCAGCGCAGCAGGCAACCCAACCGTCTGCAAACGCCCGGTTCGTACGGGAGCCGCTCCGGGGATGAGCTGCAGTTTGTCTTTCCAGGGACGGCAGCTGGTTCCTGGATCAGCAGTACAGATGGTTTGAGGCTTGGGCACAGTTTGCTTTGAAAGTGAGGTCGGCGATAGATTCCCAAGAGAAAAAGGGCGCTCTGAACCAAGGAAGACTGATGGCCGCTGCTGCCCAGTTGATACTAGAAGCTTGCTATCGGCGTGGTTTTGCATCGGGAGAGGACAGAGATACTACGGTAGCGTAGAAAGGACAGCACAGGTCACCTGTCCTTCACGTGGCCAGACGAGTCCTTCGCAAGCAGCCACGCGGTTGCAGCAGCAGAACTACTAGCAGAAGAAAACGATTTTGCCTCTAAGGGAATCACAAGCCTTTCTCAGAGAAAGCAATGCCAGCCATAAATTAAAAAGGTTACAAACTTTCTTATAGACACACGGCTCGCCTAACCAGCCTGCACCATCTTTTGCTACAATAATTATACGCAATCAAGGATTTGCAAGTCTAATAGTTCCAGGGAGAAATTCTCAAGCCATGGCTGTCAGATTCTAGAAGGGTTTTCTGAAATCCCATCAAAGCTTGTAGGAATTCAGCAATATTAGCAGAATAGTAACATTCTTATTTGGAACAATATTGAGGCTTCTGACATAAAAATAGAGTGCTGCGCTCGTGCTGCTTCAGACATCCAGCAGTGGTGCAAATAAAGACACGATGCTTATAAAGAAATCAGACCTCACCTGTAGCTTCAGTATTTTTTCTGTACTTGAATCTTTAAGCTTATCTACACCAAGCCAAATATTTAACTACAAAGAGACAAAACCAGTTCCTAACTTCTATAGCTGTCCTGGGGTCTGTCTGATCAAATACTGATTGGTTTTTAAATTCAAGTATCCTGTACAGACCATAACAGCAGGTGACGTTAAAAGTTGACGGTACCATGGGCGCTTATGGCAAAGCAGTATCTTGTCTTCTGGGCACCGAAGATGAGTACGTCATGCATTTGCACAGGATGAGCACGAAGAAGCTTCCGCCTCTACACTCTAAGATCTCAGAGTGAATGTAGTCAGATTCAGCGTTAGATTCAGTTCAAGAGCCAGAAGACTCTATTCCTGCTCGCCCCGAGATGCACAGGACGCGACTCAACCCCAAACATCACAGCACCAGACTATGGGGAGGGGAACATGTAACTCTCCCTCTTGCTGACACAGAGCGGAAAAATAAAGAGCAAAGCAGCACTCTGAAGATGCATAGTAGTAATAAAAGAGCTTAGGAGGACAAGGAAAAATGAAATTTTTACTACTCAGAAGCTACCTGAACTTAAATGTACTGTTTTGGTTGGACCATTAAATACGACAAACTGCAAGAGCCTGGAGTGTAAAGAGACTGCAAGAGACGATGAAGAACAGCCTCAGTGGGATTATGAAATGACAAGGTCAAGGCAGGATGGAAAAGCGGATGGGTACAGGGAGAACTAACCTTTTTTATACAAGAGATATAAAAGGAGCAAATAAAATACTCCCGATTGAGACAAAAGGGAATGGTTAGCACAGGGTGCTAAACGACTCTCTTGTGATATCACCACATACAACCAGCGTGCCAGGAATTATTTTAATGTACACGATTAAGTGAATGGTATAGTGTTATACGGCAGTGTAAGTGCTTTGTACTATTAACAGTTGGATTTTATTAATTTTAAAGCAGTTTTTGTTCTTTCTCACCTATCTAGTCAATCTTCTGTTAAAGCCCAGTGTGTGCTGCACTATTCCTGGGGCTCAGCAGTGTAATTTTGAGAGGAAGATTCGCTCGTGTATTCATCCGTGGCCTCAACCTGGCTCAGCAAGAAGCCCGCACAAACTACAGGTTAAGTTCAAGTTTGATTACAGCTAACACATGCCACTGCTGTGGAGGGTAGATTCTGGACCCAAGAGAAGCCCACGTGCTTATCTTCCACCAAAATAAAAGTGCTTGTCAAAAGTGTTGCTTGCTTCTACGCATAAAGCACCCCATGTGATATCTGAGGGCGTGCGATGCGCCTCAGCCTGTTTTCAAAGCAGTTGAAGTTGCGTAACTGTTTTTGGTATTTAGTTCAAGCAGCTTTTAGAAATTTTACAAATAAGTTTAAAATAATTACAGGGTATTAATTAGTGCTGTCTGCAGAGGGAAAGATTCAGCCCAAGTGCATGAAAGAAACTGAGCAAAAACAGTCCTTCTGAGCCTGATTTAACAGGCTTGTACCAGACAATCTTAACAGTCTTATCCTCAAACATCTACTGTCTCCCTGAGGGAAAACTGCAGAGAAACTCTCTTAAGGAGCACACAACTGTCCTTGTAATAGCTTAAACAAGATTTCCAGTCATCCACAGAAACCAAGAAATTATGTCCCTGCTTTCAGACCTGAGCAGGTTCCCCACTCCCATCTCACTATGGTGAGCGCAGAAAAACGCTTCTGCCTCGCAAGCATTCAGACAATCCCTAGAACAATTTTTGCACGATTAGACATATTCCCCACTTGCTGTCAGGGTGTCATTTTACAAGTATATTTAGTTTCTTTAAAAAATAAAAACACATACTTGTAGGGAAAATAAGGCCTTTTTTAAAAAAAAGCCCTTATTTTAACTCAAGATTCCCAAGGCATTTTATTCTCACTGAGGACTGCAACAAGTTTCCGTGGGTATTTACTTGCTCTAACCAGAGCCAAGAGAAGACTAACCAGAACATTTTGGCCAGGACACAAGAAGCAACTGTGCTTGACAGATATTCATTTAAAAAAAAAAAAACCAAACAAAACAGTCAAGAGCAACAGAATAACCCTTTCCCTTAGCTGCTGGAAGGCACCATCCCATTCACAGGTGTTTTACAATGAACCACCTACTTGCTGTCTGTCCTTTTGTTATAAATGAGAAAGTCAGAAATGTCATGCCATACATTACTATCATCATACAGGTAGGTCATGGAGGACTGCAGAGAAGGCTGCAGGGTTTGCCGGTGGTATTCAAAGAGCCAGAGAACTGTCCCCCATATCAGAGCAGCGACAAGTGGAAAGGGATCCTGCTTTGGCTGTGGGACGTAGCCCTTCTCCACTGCCAGCCGAGACAAGCCGAACAGGATACGAGACAGCAAGTACATAATGATCTGCATGAAGAGAAAACCCAAAGAACATTAGGTAAATAACCTGACCAGATACGCTAGCCAGGTTAAGTGATTTAGAAGCGATAAGCCAGGCAAGAGGGGTGGAAACAATTCACCCAACTTAAGAGCAAACAGGCTGGGGGTTCACATATCAAGCAGTCTTTATAACTGGAGATGTTTGTGTCTTCCCTGTGTCCTCAGAGTCCTACTTCTCTGCCGGTGCTCTGATTTAGTAATCAACAAGTTACGCTTGCTGCAACATATCTCTGCAGTTGCACAACTTTTATCTTTGCTCATTTAATGCTACCTCAGATGCTGCTGCTGGTAGAACAGTCGCGGAGCAGCCCGGCTAACCTGCCAAGCAGATACAAACTTGGTAGACAGGACCCATCTTAAAACCAGACTGAAGGTATGCTCTTGCAGGGGATTGCGCAAGTAAAACACTTTGATTAACCTGCACCTGTGTGTTTTACTGACTCATTAATCTGTGACTGTTAAGAACCAAACTTCCCCTGAGCAGCTTTTGTCAGTTTAACCAGTGTGGTCGAGTTGTACAAGTGCAGCTCTGGAGGTAAACCTGGTCTTTCAGCACTCAAACTGCACACACCGTTCACGGAGGCACACAACCACCTCTAGGATTTGAGCGCAGCGCAGCCAAAACCAGAACTTGTGCAAAGAGAAATACGATAAAAGAATAATGCTACACTGTTAAGAACCACCAGAACCACGCCAGGCTATACCGCCCACTTCCTGACACACGATCATCCGTTGGGGTTTTTGTCAAGGAAACTTTCAACAAATGCATTTACCTGGCTGTTAATGGGATTGTTGTCACCAAACACTAGCCAACCTCCAACGCAGGCTGCAAAGAAAGAATGAAATGGAATTTTCTTCCCCTGTAGTCGGGACTGCAACGCCATCAGCCCCTTGTAGGTGAACACAAAATAGGCCAAGTTCCGGGAATGAGCGTACGTAGCCTGAGCAATCGATTTCCATTTCTCTCTTAAACTGAAGAAAAGAAAGAGACAATTAGAAGAGCAAAAAGGCAGTACCACAGCAGCCACTCAGCCCGGACACTACGCCCCTCTGGCCTGCCCGTCTAGACCGACGGCTCGGGCACCCCACAGAACATCTGCTTTGTGAGGGAGGACAAATCCCTTCACCTCTGGCTCACTCATCAGAATACATTCAACAGCTCTACTGAGACCGCGGACTGTGCTTTTGTCTAATTCTACGATTAGTCAAGGAGCCTTCTTTTTTCCCCCCCTCATTATTTTTTATTTTTTGCCTAAGTGCAAACCTCTGGCATAAGCGGGGAAAGCCGCAACGCGCACTGCTATAGCTTGGCTTCCCTTGCTTATTTGAAGGGCGAGCAGAGTGCTGCTGTTCGCATCTGCTAATTCCTCCTCTGCCCAGTGGGTCTCATCAACCACCGCACAAGCGGCTGACCCCCACGAGTACGTATATCTGCGTACCCACGCGCACACGAGTCGTGCGGTGTAGCTATCGGAACAAGGGGCTACGACCACGGCTCGTGTATCTGTCTGCTTTTTAAGCCCTCTGGAAACTTGAGGGAATGCTTGAACGAAAGCGTTCTAAGCAGTAACGCAGAAATAAAGAACAAGGGCTCGTACCTTCCGCTCTTGAACAGGAAAGTCATCACCAGGGCATGCGGGGCACGAATTTTTGCTCCGTAACTGCAAAAGGGAATAGATATTTCAGACTTTATATATTATGCTATTAAATGATCGTATTTCTATTTTATTGACAGCCAAAAGATGCTACTTAAGCAACTACATCTTACTTTTAAGTCAGGCAGTAGCAGCAGGGCACCAAGCCCAGGCCGCAGGCTTACGAGAACGTGCACCCCAACAAGCCGGGCCCAAAGGGGACCCCAAAACCGGTTAAAGCCCCGCTTATCGGTGAGGGA